TTCCTGCGTTTATGCTTTTTAACCAAAATGAGGGGGTGGCGGGCCCCTCGGACCCCTACCCTGGATCTGCCACAGGTGATACAGGTTCCATTTATCACTTTTAGTTTTAGTGGATGCCAGAAGCTATAATATCCATTTCCCTATTGAATAAGTGTGTAGAAGAGCTGTAAACGAACCATTTATTTACAAACTTTTATCATTTATGCACTCGTTTCACCGTTTAAAAAGAGCTGAATGAAGCAAAAGTAATAATAATAATAATAATAATAATATAAATGATAATAAATAGGGTTTGGTATAGGTCGTTCTTTAGGGAACTTAATTAACATACAATTAACTTGTCGGGATTGTGGTTAAATGGGTTGTCAGACCTAAATTACGATTCTTGTTGCAAAAATAAAGTTTTCAATTCATGAAGCTATTAACTCATCGAACGAATGCTGTTTACACTAATTCAGGATTCAAACGGCGGACATAAGAAATAATTGGTGATACTGTAACCTAAAAATGACCGTTGTTTAACGTCTCGATGTTTTCTTAAACATAATCATCTAGAAAATATTCATTAAGGTCGTGTTAAGGGACAAAATATCAAATTAACATAATGTTAGCATTCATGGGTTCGTGGTTTTGATAGTTTTCTTACGGATTTGATCACTTTGGACGATAACTGACGGGCGCAGTTCTATAATAAATAATATATAATTCAAGTCAATCAAATTTACTACGACATACTCTGAAAGTGTTCTTTCATTGTGCTCTTCGCACCAGTGAATTTAAGTATGAGAACGCTGACGGTAATCACATTCTTAACTAAATTTAAAAAGCTTCAAACGTGTCACGCTCTTGCAAGTAACGCATGCCTTGTTTAGTTGACGAGCAATCACGCATTCGTTCTCATGTTGACTTGCTACTTAGGAATAATATTTCAGTATATGTTGGTACTTAGAAGAAAGGTAAAGTCAGAACAATTATTATGGAAGATAATTCAACAGGCAATCAAGTTCTTGAAGACGCTGGAAATCAAATCAGAGAAGCCTGCGAGGTATTACAAAGAGAAGCAACAAGGCTTCGCCAGGAGCAGAAAGCCATCGACGCCATGTCGAAAAAAATAGAGCACGTTCATCTCTCGTCGACTGTTAACCTCAATGTTGGCGGCCGCCGTTTTACGACAAGTCTTCAAACATTGACAAAAGATCCAGACTCGATATTGGCTGCCATGTTTTCTGGGAAGTTCGACGTAAAACCATCAGAAGACGGAGCTTTCTTTATCGACCGAGACGGAAAACACTTCCGGTTCATACTTAATTATCTTCGTACAGGGAAATTAACTTTGCCAGATGGAGCAACATTTCGAAAGGAACTTGCAGAAGAAGCTGAGTTCTATCAGATCCAAGGGATACTGGACGAATTAGTGCCTAAAGCGCCGAAGAATTTCGAAGAATCAGTCATTCTGACGAATGAAGAGCACCGAAGTGTGTTAAGTGGTTGGTTGCCTCCACAAGAAGGCAAATGGAAGCTTCTGATGTGAGCTTCTCAAGATGGCTTTGCAGCTCAAACCTTCCATTCCAAATGTGACAATAAAGGGCCCACTGTCACTATTGTGAAGAGTGGAAATCACATTTTTGGAGGATTCACTGAAAAATCTTGGGGCAGTAAGTATATTGTTACAGGTGAATGAAGGGTGAAAGTTTCTAAAGAAACTGTGGTGCTACGTCGGTGGGGGTAACAAGGTATATCAACTAATATGAAATTTCAAATTGGCCCCAGTAACGAGTTATTGAATAAGCTGACGTTTCGAGCGTTAGACCTTTCGCTCTGACGAAGGGCTAACGCTCGAAATGTCAGCTTATTCAGTAACTCGTTACGGTGGCCAATTTACAATTTCAACTTAGTTGATAGACTATATAGTTACAGTCGAACCTCGATTATCCGGACCCGTTGGGACTTAGGTAATCAGTCCGGATAATCGAGAGTCCAGATAATCGAAAATAAGAATATTAATGAGACAATAATGTAAACAAAAGAAATAGAGATAACACACTTTAAATTCTAAAAGTCTGCTTCAATGACTCTCCGAGTACTCGATCTTTTGAAAGCGGAGGAGGTAATGCGCTGTTTTAAACGCACTTTTCATGAAGTTAGACGTAATCTCTGAATTTTCTTACCTCATAAAGTTTGGAAGATCAAAGCTCATTAATAATCATGAAAAAAACGGGACCAGAGAAAAAGTCCGGATAATCGAGGTCCGGATAATCGAGGTTCGACTGTACAGGGTGAAGTATAGCCGAATTCTCCGTCACATTTATCGGCGTTAGAAATAAATTTCAATTCGAAGGATGCAAAAAAATCCGCAGGACAAAAGAAAAGTGGAAAGAGATAAAGATGAGTGAACAACGGAGAAGAGGTGGCTTAGGATCTTTGTTGAAGATGGAATATAGCTGGATTTGGTATAACAAATTATCTCAAGATTTTCCAAACATTGACAGGCATTCTTAAATGATAAACAAGATGAAGTATAATAATCAAGAACTCGTTCAAAACGAGTATGCCTACTTAAGGGTTAACGTGTTATTTTTATGTTTTAGGGTTGGAGAAAACAAGTACAACACATTGGTTTTATAAACACAGAGCTGTTCATTTAGTGCAGAAGGCTCGACATAAAAGGGTCATGCTACCCAGTGAGATTTGTGCATGAACAAAGCGAGAATATGTAAATTGGCTCATGTTTATCGCTCGTTTAATCGGATTGCCTTATCTAAGAGCGTCTAAAAATATGCATCAATCATATTTTTGTTTCTTTTTTTCTGAAACAGGTCAGGATGACTTCTTGCTATGCACACAGTCATTCGTGTTTAGCATGGTGAACCCCCACAGAGTAACTGCGTGTAAACTGCCACTCGTCAACGATCAGGAAGACGCCATTTACTGTGACAGCTACCATGGACCAACATTTGGAGGAGGGTATGACTTACATGTATCAAATAACACAAACACAAGTGGTAAAAGTTACAGTAATCTCGGCTACTCGTACCAGCTTCCCACCGGTCAGCAGTACACATTCTTTACGGGAGCCCAAAAATTTAATGTGACAGACTACGAAGTGTTTGGAACTTACAAGTGACAACTATAGCAAACATTTTAGAGAAGACAGCCGGCTGGTAGAATTTCTCTGACTCGAACTATACTCTGGGTTTTATTTTTGAAAAGTTTACTTTTGTTTTCCTTTTCTACATCTAATTCATTCTTTTCGTCTGACCACAGCTGACCCAAAGTTCTTTTTGTGAAATCTTTCTAAAAAACTGTTTGCTGACGGAAAATAAAAGCCGCAGCAAGTGTACAAGGTCCGTTCAAGACTACTTGCTAGGAGCCATGATATCCAATTCCTCAAAGCATTTAAGTGTGAAAGAGTCTTCAATGGACGAGTGAATTATTACTTTGTTCTGATTTATGCACTCGTCTCAGCTATGAAAAAAAAGCCGCATAAAACAAGACAATACAAAAATAGCTGGCGTTTGGTAGGCCCATCTTTATGAAAGTTATACAATTAACTTGTGGGAGGTGCACTCAATGAATTTTCAGACTTTCAATTACGATTGTTGCTGCGGAAAAAAGTTTTCACGAAGCTGTTTAACAAAGGATAATTGATTTTTATTATTGCCTCTTGCTCCTAAGCTTTGTTTGTCTAAGTTTTTCTCCATTAACCTCTTCACTATTGTTTTAATTTGATATCGTTTACAACCGGCTTCCACGTCAGTTAGGTAAAATTAAACATTGCCTCTGCCCTGAATATAAGCATGGCTAGGATTTGACATGAGCGCAAACAATAATCGAATTATGATTGCAACAGAGATAACAGTTTTTCAATATTTAAACTTGCCATTTTCGTTTTCCCACTGGTAGAGCAGATTATTGGGAAATAAAAAACAAACTCTGATTTTTTTCAACCAAGAAAGCCTTTTCGTGTAATGAGCTCCAACTCCTTCAAACAGGTTGTCGATATATCGTATATTACCTTCCATATCATGTCTCTTCTCTTTTTAGAAAGGGTTTAAAAAGACATCAACAACAACGAAAGCCATAGAAGTTTCCCGGCAAACTAGGTAATTTAATTTTCTTGCACAAGAACCAATCTAGCTTTATTTGGGGAATAGGTGTGTGATTGTCTTCTTAGTGCCTGGAAAAGAGTGGGTCAATTGAACTCTTCTGATGAATGCCCGCACTGGTTCATTTAGATAGTGGTGATGCCTGAAGAATCGAAACTACAAGATACAAGAGCAAACTTGCCGGTACTTTCTTCAAACACTTTCGGTTGCCTGAAAACTCAAGCTTCACAAAAAAAAAAAAGCAACCAACCCAAATTTGCCTCTATTTCTGAACAGCCTTTCACAAATTTCTTTACTGTATATTTACATAATGTAATGTACATTTACGTAATACACTTGCGCTTTAAATTTATTGTTCAGGACAGGGCAGTGGAGACAATTACCATTTGGGTAACGGGATAAAGAGATACGATGGTGTGTTAGAGCGCTTGGCCCTCGATCGAGGGTGCAAGTTTCGAGCCCCAGGTAAGTCGGTTATACAGTGGAATGAATTGTAAGACAGCTTCTCGCCTCTTAAAAAGTCTACAGAGTTTATCTGAAAACCTTTAATGCGCAATATGTGCGGAAACCAAATGCATGTAGTTTAATTTCAGCCCATTTTAACTATCAGGAAACTTTTCACATCTCATGTCCAAACGCCCAGTTGAAAACACGTTCAAGTTCCGGCCTGCAGACCATTAAAATTATCATGATTAAGCCCCATACACATTTCTTGTGCAGAAAAAGAATATGCGCCAGCCTTCGCGTTTACGACACCTCGAATCTCTGAAACGATGCGAATTGTGGCTGAAAGTGAAAACCGGACTTTCGGACTTCAAGCGAGGCCTAGCGACAATTAGATGCTAATACGGCTAATAAGAGAGGTTTGTCCTCCCTTAACTTTCGGTCTCTTTGCGAACGATGCTGCGAAGTCAATAAAGCTAGTTGTTTCCTGCAGCCATCCTTTTGACTAAAACGCAAGTCGCTCTTTCCTCACAGATCCTTTAAAAGGAATCTGTAAAACCCTGAGATTCTGCGGCAAATGATCCAGCGTTTTTAGACGGCCGTGGCACTGTCTAAAAATGTGAGCAGATTGCGTGGACGTTGAAATCTAGTTTCGTAAGCGCAATACTTATAAAAGAAAATCGCAAAAAATCTTTTCGTATATCCTTAAAGTAAAGTATGTGTTTTAATGTGGACACTGAATTGCAAATTTACCCGAAAGAAGGGAAAATGAATTCACCTCAATATTGCCTTTTTCACGCTTCGCAAAAACTTTTATGAAGTTATATAATTTTGCAAAGGTTAGAGTGACGTTATACTGACGTTCCATCCCTTCCGTATCTCCTTGGGGGCAAGGGTAAGGGTATGTAGGCTATAATTTCTTTGACTTCTTCGCCCTAGAATGACGAGTACCTCGACCTAAAAGCGTCTAACCCGTCACGCTATCGTGAATAGCACATCCACGCTTTCATTCGAAGTTTTCAACCCCGCATGCTTCTGTGAAACAACATTTTACGATTTGTTGGTACTCAGAGGAAAGGTAACGTAAAAAAAGTTCTTATGGAAAATAATTCAACTGGCAATCAAGTTCTTGAAGATGCTGAAAGTCAAATGAGAGAAGCTTGCGTAATATTACAACGAGAAGCAACAAGGCTTCGCCACGAGCAAGAAACCATCGACGCTATGTCGAAAAAAATAGAGCACTTTCATCTCTCTTCGATTCTCAACCTCAATGTTGACGGCCTTCGTTTCACGACAAGTCTTCAAACGCTGACACTGAAAAGACCCAGGCTCGATGTTGGCTGCCGTTTTCTGTGGGAAGTTAAAAATGAAACCATCGGAAGACGGAGCTTTCTTTATCGACCGAGATGGGAAACACTGACTTCCGGTTCATACTTAATCATCTTCGTACAGGGTTATTAACTTTGCCAAGGGAGCAACATTTTTGGATAAACTTGCCGAGGAGGCTGAGTTTTACCAGATCCAAGGGACACTGGACGAGTTAGTACCTAAAGTGCCGAGGCGTTGACGAATGAAGATCACCGAAGCGTGTTAAATGGTTGGTTGCCTCCACAAGAGGGCAAATGGAAGCTTCTATTCAGAGGTTCTCGAGAGGGCTTCGAAGCTCAAACGTTTCACTCCAGATCTGACAACAAAGGGCCCACTGTCACCAATGTGAAGAGCGAAAATTACATTTTTGGAGGATTCACTGAAACATCATGGGACAGTATCTTAGGTGTGACGGGATCAAATAATGGTATTTCACTCCAGATCTGACAACAAAGGACCCACTTGACTCTGATGATGACTTCCGCACAGGTTGTCGAAACGTCAGTCACTACCACCGACAACAGTCCTTCTCAGAACTATACTCTCACCCGGACGATCAGACTACACCTTCACAAAGGGCCCACTGTCACCATTGTGAAGAGTGAAAATTAAATTATTGGAGGATTCACTGAAATATCGTGGGACAGTAAGTATCTTAGTTGTGACGGGGTCGAGTAATGGTATTTTGGCTGAAATTTTTTAAAGAAACTCTGATACTGCATCGGTGGGGGTATCGTCAGATCGTCATATTTGGAGGATTCACTGAAATATCGTGGGACAGTGAGTATCTTAGTTGTGACGGGGTCGAGTAAAGGTATTTCGGCGAGAAAAAGGAATACTCTGAGCAAAAGGAAGACGCACGTCTTCTTCCAATTGACTTTGAGGAAAAAACACTGCTCTTTCTTTCATGTTCTCTAGCAGTGGAACACAGCAATGAATTAAAACGAAAAACTTGAAAGCGATAAGAAATTACATGGAAAGCGCGCGTAAACTAATACACTTCGTCTCCAGAGTCTATCTCTTTTCCCAGGGAAAAGGAAAAAGAGAGAATCCCCAAAAAGCAATGTCGAATATGTTCATTCTAATCCCAACGTAAAGTAACCACTATGTGATCAGTTGAAGGACCAAACTTTATTTATGACTTTGGTTGTGTCCTAACAAAATTTACCTGATTCCCTTAAGGCTCCGTTTGTAGTATTCAAATGATCTCCTATCAATTGACCTCCAAGTTGGAGGTCAATTTTCTATAGTCCCCCTTTTAAACTCTGTTATGAAAGATTCCTTTGCGAAAATATTGTGATCCCCCAAAATCCTCCTATTCTCCCATGGCGATATATAACGACTGGTACCTAATTATACCATGAAAATCAAGAAACTATAAACAGTTTATAATCTCTTCATGACAATCTCTATGAGGTTAAAAGTATCCCCTAATAAACGCTTATTTGAGCGTCTTGTTTGGCGATGAAATTAGAATTAACTTGAACTTGAGCTCATTTAAAGTTCAATTAGGACTGGAACGATCGAAAATGATGTCACGCAGCAATAAAAAATTTGCATTTTTACCGCCGCCTGGTTAGCTCAATTGGGAGAGCGCCGGACTGCTGTGCGGGAGGTCGAGAGTTCAATACCAGCCGGACCAACACTCAGGGTCTTAAAATTAACTGAGAAGAATATGCTTCCTTTCTTTAACATCAAGAAATGGTTAGATATTCTAGTCTTCTCGGATAGGGACGAATAAATGGAGGTCCCGTCTCCTGCAGGGTT